CAACAGGAAACAATTTATCGGCAGCAAAGTGACCAAGTTTCTCGAAGATCATAAGATCAAAAGAATCTTATCGACACCTTATCACGCTAGTGTGAATGGACAAGCCGAATCGACCAACAAAACCATAATCCAAAACCTTAAGAAAAGGTTAACCGACGCCAAAGGAAAATGCAAGAAGATCCTGCCCGAAGTCCTTTAGGCATATCGCACAATCTCAAAATCCAGTACCGGGGCTACTCCGTTCTCATTGGTTTATGGCACCGAAGCTCTAATACCGGTCAAAGTCGGGGATCCAAGTATCAGATTCCGATATGCAACAAAGGAATCAAATGACGAGGCCATGAATACGAGCCTGGAGCTATTGGATGAAAGGCGTGAAGCCGCCTTTGTTAAATTGGCTGCACAAAAGCAACGGATCGAGTGGTATTACAATCGAAGGGCCAACCTTCGATACTTCAATATCGGGGACTTAGTACTAAGGAAGGTCACACTAAACACCCAAAATCCAAACGAAAGGAAGTTGGGTCCGAATTGGGAAGGACCGTACCAAATTCTCGAGGTCACCGGGAAAGGATGCTATAAGCTCGGAACGATGAACGAAGAACAACTGCCGAGCAATTGGAATTTAACTCACCTAAAATGATATCACTGCTAAGGTACGACCCCATTCATTTTCTTTTATTTCGGACTAACACTTGCAGGTGATCGACAAGAAGCAACATGAAGTTTTTATGTCAAAGCACGCGTTGCACTCTTTTTTCTTTGAACCTATTTGATCCCAAATGGGTTTTTCGACAAGGTTTTTAACGAGGCAATAGTGGATCGTGCTAACTTAGAATCAAGGACCGATCACCAATCGGTGCCAAAGCTAGCGTTAACAGTATTCGAGGCTCCTCTACAATCAACCTCGAATACTGGGGGGGCATTACCCTCGGATATCAACTTTAGCAAGGAAAGAAGCTTCGTAGCTGAACGGTATCGATCGGTAGGATTTATTGTAAGGGCCAAACGGTAAAACGAACCGTAACCACATAGGCTGCTCAAACCCTGACACGAAATATGTATACATATGTTACTATCATACACAAGAATAAAGAGAAGCTCTTCCTTGTAATAATCTTATGTTTTAAAATTCTTCTTTACATCCCTTAAAGAATTTCCTACTTCCGGTCTCCTAAAGGCAATGAGCTCAAGGGCCACGCTTATAACCGGAGTTCGAATGATCACTCCCTAACTCGGGGACTGCCATCCGATAACAAACTCGAGCGGCTCAATCCACTAGACCTCGGGGTCATAAGACTTATTAGGCAACCCCCAAATTTTAAAGGCCACGGACACCTTTGCTTGGGGACTGTTATCTTGGGCAAGCCCGGGTAACTCGGGAAAGCAAGTCCAATGGGCGGCTCCCGAACTAAAAGTCTACGGCCATATTAGCACGGCTCGGAGACATCCGAGACCCGTAACGGAAACTAGGCCTTCAAAAAAGAAAATCTTTCATAACCGATCTAAAGGCTACCCTCAGCAAGCTATAAACCTAAACTACTTTGGGAAAAGACTTCGGTAACACCGAATCCTTGCAATGCCTTAACACAAAGTAACATTAAAGGCAAGGTTTTTTCGAACCTTCGAACATAACCTACTTATTTCATGCTAAGGCATTTCGACCTTTTTGCGAACACAAATGAGAAAACAAAGGAAAAATCCGAAAGCTGAAAGGGAAAGAAAGTCTTGTATATATTTATCAAAAATTCTTTTTATAAGGGCCAAATGGCCCCGATATAGAAATTTACAACAACGAAAACGGCAAAGACAAAATGACTAAAAAGATCCTAAGTGGCCTAATCTTCACTGGGAGCAGCGTCGTCACCTTCGGTCCCATATGAGTCTTCAAATCCCTCTGAATCCTCCTCCTCGGGATAAGCCAGCTTCCTGGCCTTGGCCTCGGACACCTTGGCATTCTCGATCTCAGCCAGCAGGTCGAAGCCCTGAGCTTGAACTCCTTCAAGGGCCTCCCATCGGGATTTCCACCTAATATGTTCCACCAAGTTTCTCGCTTGGACCTAAGCCATCTCAGCATCGCCCTTGTGGTGGGCCACCTTCTCATCAGCTTCGGCCTTGACCACAGCAATCTTTGACCTTGCCACCTCAAGTTCCTTGGCCAGATTTTCTTGGCTAGAAGCCGTTGAGCTCAACTGAGGTCGAATCTCTTCGATTGTTTTGGCCTGGGTCGAGGTGTTTTCCTCTGTAGCTCGGAGCTGGGCCTCGGCCAACACCAGTTGTGCTTGTACATTCTCCTTTTCCGAGGCTAAGAGGTCCATATTTTTCTTCCACTCATCGGCCTTAGGTTTTATCGTGTGCACCTGCGCCTGGAGCTGCCCGATCTATTCAAGCTTCTTTTGGACCTGCAGGTTCGGGTAGTTAGCCACTATGTCCAAATCATCGTCACTATCTTCAAGTACTTGATTTACCTGCTCGACCTACTCGGCATGCTCCTTACGAGCCGCTTCTAACTCGGCCTGAAGTTTCTCAGTAAGAAGCTTATAGGTGTCCCTCTTCTTAGTAAGCTCCCGAATCTCGAACTTGTGTTGGGTTAACTCCTCCCGACATCGGAGAAAAGTTTCATGGTGAAGTACCGAGGCCTGCTAGCATAAAGAAAATTGTTACGATTATTTGCAACTTCAAATTTAAAATACATAATAAAGAGACACTCGAGGTTACCAGATTCAACGCCTATTGAGCTTCATTGAATAGGCAGGGCGCTTCCACCTCATCCATCTTGGCCTGTCCTCTTCGGTCACCAAGCACCGAAGATAGCTAGCAACCCCACGGGGGCAGAGAAAACTCGGCATCCTCCGGGATAGAGAACTATTGACCGCTTTCGGTCAGGATCAACACCCGGGGCTGGGAACCGATCCACTAACCTTGAGCTCGAAGAAAACCCACTAGCTCCCGACGATGGTACCTTCTTTGGCACCGGCAAGTCACCAAACCCGGTGACATCCTCTGAGGCGGTAGATTCTAAGCCATCTAAGAAGTTGTCGAGGTCTGCCGCCCCCTGAAACCCCTCATGAGAAGGACCTTCTAGCATACCGACCTCGTTGATGATGGAATCGGAGAACAGTGGAGACCGCTGTGAGGTCAATCGCCCCAAGAACATCTTTCGGGTCACTTTCCTTTGCTCGAGAAATATCAGCCTCGGTCTCCCTCTCGACCCCCCTAGCTTGGGGCAAAGCAGCCTCACCCATTTTCGGTTAAGAGATCCCGGCCAATGCCTTCTCGGCAGCCTCCCCGGCTTGAGACAATGTAGTATAGATTCGCACTCGAGCCACTAACTCGAAATGTTCTTCTTCTTCTTCGAACTCATTCCTCAGCTGGCTAATTGAGTCCAATGGGAGAGCGCTAGTACTTTCCTTAGGTTTGCGTGCCTGCCTCTTTTTTGGTTTCTACTTCTCCGAGTTCGGGGAACTCGGAGCCCCTTTACTTTTCTTGTCTTTGTCCTGCTTCGGAGCAGGTGGTTGGGGAACGACATCTTCATCATCGGATGGGGGCCTTATCGCAACATCTTTCCTAAGTCCTACAAAAGTGATGAGTAATCTTGGAAAGAAACCCAAGTGATGTCAGCTCTAGGAAAGAATCTTACCGTGAGAACGGGCCTCTCACCGGCCCTTTAAAAGTTCGTGCCATGCGCGCTCGGAGTAGGGCTTTTGTGATACGATGCCCTCGACCCACTTCTTGAATCGAGGAACTGCATCTAGCATCCGAGCGACAGTTGCACAACAAAACATCGAATTGGGGAGAGGAAAGGGAAAAACAATAAGCAAAATCTTAAAAGTGAAGTTATACTTACGTTTCATGTTCCATTTCTCAGGAAATGGCATTTCCTTGGCCGGGATTAGATCCGAGGTCTTCACTCGAACGAACCGGCCCAACCAACCTCTGTCTCGGTCTTCATCTATGCTCGAGAATAGGGCCTTAGTAGCCCAACAGGCAAGCTTTATCAATCCCTCTCGGTAGAGTCGGGGACTATACAGACGCATGAGATGGTCGATGGTGAAGGGGAACTTGTCGAGCTTGCTCACAAAGAAACGAAGCAGCATAACAATCCTCCAAAATGAAGGATGAATCTGCCCGAGCGTCCCTTCATACCTTTTGCAAAAGGCTATGATAACTGGGTCTAGAGGGCCCAACGTGAAGAGATAAGTGTAAACACTTGGAAAATCCTCCACGTAGGTAGTGATTGATTCCTCGGGCATAGGTACCACCACGTGTTTACTGCCCAATTACAATCTTCCTTGACTTTGGGGAGGAGATCCTCATTAATGGAGCATATATACCTCAAGACCGGCTCGCATCAACCCGGTACGGGAGGGGTTTTTCATCTTGAAGTCGGCCCCTCTTGGGCACCCCGTAGGAACGAACATAGTTTAGGAGGGTTTTGGTGTCTTTTCCTCAACAACAGTAGACGGAGCCTTTTCTTGTTCAGATGGTCTCGAGGAAGTGGGAGTTTCCGTTTGAGGAACAGATTTAGAAATCTTTGCCATTGCTTCTGAGTAAGGGTGAAGAGATGGTACTGATGAAAGAGTGGGCGTAATTGGCAGATAGTTTATGAAATTTTTTAGAAAACTATAAAGGAAGAAGTTTTAAAACATGAACCAGAAACTAGAGGAAGAAGATGATAGAATTTTTCTTAAAAACACAAGAACAAACGTTTGAATGTAAAAGTTCTAGTGGATGAAAGGATGAAGTATTTAGAGTCTGCAAACAGCTGTTCAAAACCCGTAGTGGCCGACCAACAACTGACACACATTTAATGCGTTGGAGACTGGACCGACGGGAAGTTTCAGTTACCTTTTGTCGCTTACGTCATGATTTATCGAAGCAAGGCTCGGAAGTTCATATTGTTTCTCATCGTCTTCTCTCCGAAAAGGGAGGGGATTATCTGTATGCCGTTGAAACCGGGTTCATCTATTGTATGACCAGTTGAGACTGAAACGTGACAGGTCAAAGCTCGATCCGGAGTTATATCGAACCAAGGCGCGAAGCTAAATCGTTGAGCTCGTGACTCCGGGACCGAACAAGATCGAGGGAATTTTGTCGAGCCAAATAACGGAAGGCCGAAATATCCGCGATCGGTTGGAGATCACGGCGAAAATCTCGGTACGTACCAAGGAGAGGCCAATTAATTATCAAATCATGATATTTTTTATCTTTCATAGAATTGTATCAAGAATAGCGCTCCCCTACTATATAAAGGGAGGTTTGATCATTTGTAAAACAGATTATAATACGCATAAAAAGGCAATACACTGTTATTTCTAGTTCTTATCATCTTGTTATCCTGTTCAGATATCGGTTGAGGTATTTCTTGGCTCTAGGTGATCAAACTCCAAGGCCAAGGCTGTTCAATTTGTGTGGTTTGCGTTTATTTTCTTATCATTAATTTCAGTATTAATATGTTTTTTTAATTTGCATCAAGTTATATCACGTATCCTTAAAATCGCGTATAAATTCAATTGTTATCCGATTTTGAGGGTAAACAAGTTTCTCCAAAAACTCTGCAATCAATCCCAACTCTGGCAATTAGCTAATACGTCATCTCGAGTTTATAAGTCTGTTTGGTTTCCTCAAAGATATCGAAGGATAGTAGTTAAGGAGAACTTGCAATATCCCAAATGATTATAAACCATAAGGATGTCTAATTTGTTAATGAGCAATGGGTATTTGGGAATTTGCAAATGAGTGACCATGAAAGAAAATATACGTAAGCAATATATTCGATCAATAGCATATATTGATTGAATGTAATAAAAAAAAGTTACTTCTAAAAAAGGTTCTGCTTTAAGCTACTAATAGATATTAAATATCGATTTAATTGAAGAAAAAGAAAATATAACTTGCTATTTATTGGACTAATTAATAGTTCAAATAATAGATAGATCAACGGTATATTCTAGAGAGAGAAGGTCTATCTTCTCTTTAAAACTAGTGATGATCGGTCCGTCTGAATTGTGCTTTTTCTTATTTTTTGGTGCCCTTACTCCTTTTTCCCTCTTTTTGGTGCTCTTTCTCATTTTTGTAAATTTTTATTAACAACATATTAATTACAAAATAGCAATTCAATATTGTACCGTAGAATGATTAACTTTCTAAAAAGTGTAAACCCTGCAAGTGTATGCGAAAGCTGATGAAAGAAGATCTTTTTTATATATTTTCACGAAATGCACAACATAAATTATCATCCTTTTTATTTTTAATCGGTTTTACATATAGAATATAGATTCCTATAAATTGTTGGAATCAGTCGAAGTCACCTTACGCCAAAACCCATTATTAGTTAGTTAGGTTAAAAATTATTTTTATGTATATTTACCATATGTTGATTCTCTTTATTTTTTTTGTTAGTTTATTTTTTTTATATTTTGACACTTGTTAGTAAAATTTCTAATTTCGTTATTTCTTGAAACCGATTAAGTTTTAACATATTAAGTTCAATTTAATTAGCTATTTTTCTTATTGTTTTAATTGGGAGAATGTATTAAGTAAAATGTCGAAAAGTTCAACTTTTTTATCTTGGTATGATTTTGGCACTGTAAAACATCTTATGCATGTTATAACATGAGATCCATATAATGTACAATCGTACAAACAAGCGTGTTAGACAATTTATTCGAAGAAGGTGGCAGCTACATTTCGGAAAATTTGCAATTTGTTTCCACCGGTGTTTTAAAGGGAAATTACCAGCTATGTCCATTTATAAGTTTACAAAAATTGGCCAATTGATAAAATATTACTAATATTAGCCAAATTAGCCAATTAGCTATTTGTAGCAAAACATATCAAATTTTTGCTTTGTTTTGAGTGGGCGTTATTAGAATAGATTGGGCACAACTTAAAGAGCTTGAATCTAAGTTTTGGGATGATTTGGTGAAGTTTTGAGGTGGTTTGAATTGAAATTCGAAGTAAAAGCTGAACATGAAAAAAAAATGATATGTGTATCACACTGTGTATCATTTGTATCACATATGTATCATATTTGTATCAATTGTGTATCACATGTATATCCATGTATACCTCTGTGTGTGATACATGCGTGATACATGTTTGATACATGTGTCGCAGAAGACTTTTTTGAACTCGATTTAATTACGAATTTTGATACAAAACCAGTCCAAATCACCTCCACTCTTCCTCAAATTTTGTATATTGACTTATCTATATATTTTCAATGAATTTTAACTATACCCATTGAAAAAGTTCCTTTTTTATTTAGATTTTTGGAATATTGTATAGATTTTTGTATTTCATCACCTTATTTGCTACTCCGTCCATGAAATTTCCTTTCCGTCTTGTATCTAATGTTGCTAATCACGCTTAAAAATATGGAAGGTGATTTTTGCATGTGATTCTTTGAGAGAAAGAACCCTATTATTTGGTTTTTCAATTTTTGTTGGCTAGTTTTGGTAAGTCTATGACTAATGGCTAGAGGTTGGTAAGTTGAGATTTATTTGGGACATTTGTGTAAGTTTCCCTGTTTTAAAAGGCAGAAGCGTGAAGTGGGGTGTTTTTCTTAATACGGAGCGAGGCGAAAGCCTCGAGACACGGAGCGTAATTAATCCCCACGGATATTTAGTTTTTAAAATTTTTGAATTAATAATATAGCATTATAACACAGTAAAAATACAAACGATACATTAAAAGTACAAAAAAACTAAAAAGATTAAAGAAACTCATATAAAATAAAATATTTAGCATATTCTAAAAGTATAAAGAATACAATATTGTTAAAGTTACTATAAAATATAAATTAACTATAACCTCTTAACTTTCAAACAATTAAAAATTATAATTTCCTAAAAAATATTATCAAACTGCATATTTTACCTCTTTAAAAGTAAATACTCAATAAATTTTATTAACACTGTAATTTAAATATTACTCCTTCATCAGTACAACAACAACAACAACAAACTCAGTTTGATCCCAACAGGTGGGGTCTGGGGAGGATAGGCTGTACGCAGACCTTACCCCTACCTAATGCAGGTAGAGAGGCTGTTTCCAATAGACCCTCGGCTCACGAAGGACAAAAAGAAGAAGAGGAAAGCAAGGAAGGAAGAGAGAAGGAAGAGAAAAGAGTAGGGGTGAGATAAAAGATAAGTAGTACCAAATAATAGCAGTAGGGAATACAATACCTGAGGCTAACACAACCACATAACGTAATAGAAATCTAAGAATATGAAGGGACATGCATGCTACTAAGACTATCGGTGAACAACTATAAACTACCTACTAACCTTCTACTTTAATCCTCGACCTCCATACCCTCCTATCAAGGGTCATGTCCTCAGTGAGCTGAAGCAGCGCCATGTCATGTCTAATCACCTCTCCCCAGTACTTCTTAGGCCTACCTCGACCTCTTCTCAAACTCTCCATGGCCAACCTCTCACACCTTCATCAGTAAATAAAATTATTTTTAAGTAGTAAAATAAAAAATGTATGATAATTTTGAGAGACATAGAACTAAGACATGAAGATCTATCAACTAAAGATATAAATTTTGGTCATCTATTTTTAGAAGAAAAATATTCAAATGATATTCACCCTCACGTTATTTTCAATTAGTAAATATACAATACTATGGTTCGTTATTTGAATTATTCACAATTTTTATATTCCTATAGTTAAAAGGAATTTTAATCATTCATTTGTTAAAGAATTTTAAGAGTCAACTGTGCAAATTAATGAATTCAACACATGATTTGCATAGGAATTATTGGGCGAGTTCCGAGCATTGATCATTAGTTGTGTTTAGGGCGTACAGTCGGCCACTTGGGAGCGTAAGCCTCACAGAACTAAACCCCACACATGAGTCTCAAGGAGTTTTCATCGTGCCCCGCCCCGAAACGAGCCCTGAGACGAGTTCCAAAAAAGCCTTTTAAAACAGTGGTTTCCACATATTTGAAGAAAAAAGGGACAAACTTATATATATCCATAATCAAGAATTAAAAATGGGAAGCCAAATGGAGTATAAAAGTACTGATACTCGTTGTTGAACACAAATTACTTATGCATCTACATTTTGTTTCAATTTTTAAGGAGAATATGAATCACAAACGGAGTAATATTATAGTACATCATTGGCACCTTCTGTGAGAGAATTATTTCATGAGAATTTTATAGAAATGTCCAAAATAAGTCGAAACTTACCGATCTTTTATTAATTACAGACTTACCAAAACTAGCCAAGTGCATATAAAAATTTAAAACCAAGATAAATAAGGATTCTTTTTCTTCAAAAATCACTGGCATGATTCAAAATTCCACCAAGTCGTGATGCACCTAACGCAACCCGCTAGGTGAGCCAAATAGTATAAGTTACAACTATAATGAGAAATTATCAATATTAATAATAAAGACTGCAATAGAATTCAATACAACTATCCCAATGACTTGTACTACAAGTCTTGAGCAACTATGGTTTGAATTTACAAGGTTGATAATAAGAATAAATACAACATCTGTTTGAAGCTTACATAAATAGAAATTAAATCCAAAACTACCATGAACAAATGGTAGCTTGAATCTGGAAAGCAGCCACAACTTCAGTGCCAACCTTCATCATCCCCGGTAGCTCAGCTCCAAGATCTGCACGCAAGGTGCAGAAGTGTAGTATGAGTACAACCGACTACATGTACTCAATAAGTATCTTGACTAACCTCGATGAAGTAGTGATGAGGTGTTTAAGTCAAAAGACACTCACTTTGCATAACCTGTGCAGCTCAATAATATGTACAATTGTAAAGAAATATCTAGAGATAGTCATGGAACACGAATATCATAATTTAAGTACACAATCAAAGAGGAGATCATAAGTATTCTTTTCTGATAAACAAGCCGAAACATATACAGTTGCCTCAACTCCTGTCACGATCCAAAATCCAAATAGTCGTGATGGCACCTAACCCAATCCGTTAGGTAAGCCAATTAGCAACAATTCAATTCCAATGAGATTTACTGAGAGAAATAATGATAATACAACTAAACTTTTATACAAAGAATTTCCAAGGACTGGTAGTACAAGTCATGAGCCACTAAGACTTAGATTTTTAAAAAACTGAATTCAAATAATTACAACATCTGTTTGAAATGTAAATGAAGAGAATCCGAATCCAAAGCTTCCAAGGACAGGTGATAGCCATAACTGGAGCGCAAGTACATCTTTAATGCCAGCTCCTGCCATACGCAGCAGCATCAACACCAAGATTTGCACGCAAGGTGCAAAAGTGTAGTATGAGTACAACCGACCCCATGTACT